AAAATCAGGATGGTAAATACCTGACAGGGTAATCAGATTCAAAACATAGAGAATCCTTCTAGGCAAAACCTTAAGTTACAAAAAGACACAAAAACAGGAATATACATTCCATTCAGCACAACTTATTTTATCAGCCATTTAAACAAAACAGAATCTAACACATATCTAACTAGATTGCTTATTAGCCCTTTACAGGAGTTCTGGCCTGCATTCCTGGTCCCGGCAAAAGCAACACACAGACAGAGAGAACCCTTTGTTTCCCCCCCACCCCCTCCAGCTTTGAAAGTATCTTGTCTCCTCATTGGTCATTTTGGTCAGGTGCGAGCGAAGTTATCTTTAGCTTCTTAACCCTTTACAGGTGAAAGGGTTTTTTCCTATGGCCAGGAGGGATTTAAAGGTGGTTAGCCTTCCCTTTATATTTATGACAAGGATGCATCCCTATTTATGATTGACTATATTACTTCAGCCAGTCCTCCCTCTGCTATCCCACACTGCACTACTTCACACCTGGACCAGCCTATGTGTTTCCCAGTGTGTCCTCCACTGTTCCCCTGGTCATCTTGACCAGATGTTACCTTCCTATTTAAATCCTGGCACACACCCAAGTATCCCCGTTTGCGATTCTAGCTTGTGACAAGTTTGCATTCCTTGAGTTCATTTTAGCAGCCATGCCCCATGCTTCCCTTGGAAGACTGTTCCAGAACTTCACTCCTCTCATCTAATTTCGAGCCTAAACTTGTTGATGGCCAGTTTATATCAATTTGTTCTTGCGCCAGCACAGACCCTTAAGTTAAATAACTCCTCTGCCTCTCTGGTGTTTAGCCCTTGGATCTATCTATAGAGGGTAACCATATCTCCCCTCAGCCTTCATTTGGTTAGGTTAAACAAGTCAAGCTCCTTAAATCTCCTCTCATAAGGTAGGATCCATTCCTCGGATTGTCCTAGTAGCCCTTCTCTGCACCTGTTCAGTTTGAATTCATCCTTCTTAAACATGGAAGACCAGAACTGCACACAGTATTTCAGGTGAGGCCTCACCAGTGCCTTGTATAATGGTGATAACACTTCCCTATCTCTACTGGAAATACCTCGCCTGATGCATTTTAGGACTGCATTAGCTTTATTCACTGCTGCATCACACTGGTGGCTCGTACCCATCCTGTGATCAGCCAGTACACCCAGGTCTTTCTCCTCCTCTGTCGCTTCCAAGTGATAACTCCCCAGTTCATAGCAAAAATTCTTATTCGTCCCTCAGTGCATGACCTTGCACTTTGCACTATTAAATTTCATCCCATTTCTATTACGTCCAGCGGAGGGCAACAAAAATGATTAGGGGACTGGAACACATGACTTATGAGGAGAGGTTGAGGGAACTGGGATTGTTTAGTTTGCGGAAGAGAAGAATGAGGGGGGATTTGATTGCTGCTTTCAACTACCTGAAAGGGGGTTCCAAAGAGGATGGCTCTAGACTGTTCTCAGTGGTAGCAGATGACAGAACAAGGAGAAACAGTCTCAAGTTGCAGTGGGGGAGGTTTAGGTTGGCTATTAGGAAAAACTTTTTCACTAGGAGGGTGGTGAAAACTGGAATGCGTTACCTAGGGAGGTGGTGGAATCTCCTTCCTTAGAAGTTTTTAAGGTCAGGCTTGACAGAGCCCTGGCTGGGATGATTTAGTTGGGGATCGGTCCTGCTTTGAGCAGGGGGTTGGACTAGATGACCTCCTGAGGTCCCTTCCAACCCTGATATTCTATGATTCTGTGATTACTGAGGGACAACCTATCCTAAATTCTCAGTTACTGAGGGACAATCTACACTCATTGCTATACTTGCTTCCCATAAGCTACTCTTGGTATAACTTTTTATGAGTGATATACCCAAATATTTGGATGCTAATATTTTAACTGTATCTTAAATTTATTAACATTAATTTGGGATATTGCAGATTATGTACTATGTGTATTTTATGACTTTCAAACCAAACATAGTACTTTTGGATAACTTAAGCATTATACCCAGATGTATAGACACTCTTTCCTTAACCTTTGTATTAGCTAATTTTAACATTAGCTTTAATTAAAAAAAATTAAATCTGTTTGTATTGAGTGTGGGGTAATGAAATGGTGTTATCCCTGTTGTCTGAGTAATGGGCAGCAGAATTGTACTTAGCCTGCCCTGATTGAAGGGGTCATCCCAAATTAAACCTTCCTTGTTAAGCTTGCTCAAGAGCTTGTACCAACCAGTCCAAAGTGATCATTTTGGCAAAGTAGCTCCATCATGCTGCACAGCGAGGCAGAGTCGGCATGTTTATGCAAACAGTCTGTTCCTGGAGTCTGTTCCCCCAGCTCATTACTTGATGTCCGGGGAGAGCTCATTCAGACTCTGCTTACACACCATTAGCCCCTGTTTTGCACTTTTCTTGCACAGCCCCTGTTGGAATAAGGTGTTTGCAATGGTGCTGACATACTTTCCAAAGTCTGTGTAGAAGAAGGCGGCTCACTGTAAACTAAGGGCAGCTGCTTCGTACCATTTTTTAGCCCTGGAGTCACTGACAATAATAACGGTTGCAGCATTATTTTGGCGCTACAAATAGTTCCCATCTACGTGGCAAGATGAAACTCTGCATTAATCATACCACAGGCAATCACATTGTACAGTTGAGTTTGTATGATAATGGGACCATCTGTTGTGTTTGTTGCAAACTCCCAGTGAATCAGGAGGAAAGTATTAAGGTGGGTGGAAGAAGATTTTATTAATATGAGCACTTCATCCTCTAGATCTTCACAGACATTTCAATATTACATAGCCTCAAATATATCCCATATCTGCTTACATAAAGAAATATGCCTACTGCCAGGTTGTTGTCTAACTTTTCTGTAAAAAAGCGAATGGCCAGAGCCTGTTGAGGCTTCGTACCTTGGATAGCTATAACTTAATGTAAAAGTTCATGATGGGGAGTATTTTCAAAGCAATTCTTCCAGTTATTGCCATATAATCCCATTGATTATAATGTGTCATTCAGCTACATGGCCTGTACACTGATGTGAAAATTTACTTCTAATTACCTTAAATATCATTAAATTTGCAGCCACTGTAAATTCATACAGTGAACACTATTATCTGTTGAAAAGCTAATGGGAACATCTCTCTTAAAGGCTAAGAGCATTGTGTTTTTGTTTTATTTCCAGTTAGAAGTAAACTACTTGAGGTTAACCTAGGACAATCACATCCAGCTTACATGATATTGCCAAGACCGAAAATCATACAGATGGCTGATGATTTTTATTAAATATTTATGGTATTTTTCCTCTGAACTCTTTACAACTGTGTGCTTTGTGCCGCATCCCTGTGATCAAATATTTACAGTGTTTTAGAATGGCTCTATGCAAATCTACTGTCAACAGAAAAGTTTTTACTGACATATTTGATTTTAACAGTTCATTATCAGATATTAAGCCATATCCTGGTGCCCTGATTCATGGGAGTAATCCCACTGAAATTATTTGCCTGAGAACAAATTTGCTGGATTTGGCCATATGTGAATCAAAAAGGAAACATCTTATTAAAATGAGGGTTGTTAGGAAGAAGGTCTGACAATCAGTCAAAAAGCCAGTTAATACCTGTAGTGTTGTAGCCATGTTGGTCCCAGGATATGGGAGAGACAAGGTAGGTGAGATAATATCTTTTATTGGACCAACTTCTGTTGGTGGAAGGTATAAGCTTTCAAGCTTCACAGAGCTCTTCATCAGGTCTGGGGACCTTCCAAAGTTTGTACCTTCCACCAACAGAAGTTGGTCCAGTAAAAGATATTACCTCACCCACCTTGTCTCTCTCATATCCTAGGACCAGCATGGCTACAACAATCCCAGACCCAAAGAAGAGTTCTGTGAAGCTTGAAAGCTTGTACCTTCCCCTGACGGAAGTTGGTCAAATAAAAGTAATTACCTCACCTGCCTTGTCTCTCTCAATGAATACCTGGACATTTCAGTCTTAATGTATACTCTTAATGTAGCATTGTGAGTTTGTTTTAATGATAAATTAGTATAAAACTAGCCCTGGTACAAAACTGGCCACTTAAAGTGCCGGTGGTTAACTAGGTAACAGACCTGGGTGGGAAATGGGTTTCTCATCCCATAAGACGATTTGAGATTTTGAAAATTTTTCCCCATCCTGAAATGGAACAGAAAACTAAAATCTTGAAAGTTTTCACAAACTAATCATCTGGGGTGGGGGAATGGATTGGATCAATTGGAACATTTTGTTTAGATAATTTCAAATTATTTTGTTTCAGTTTTGACCTTTTACATTTTTAACCCTTTATAAAGTACAAATTAACTAAAATTTTGAAAAGTCATTTTAACTTGAAAAATGAAGCTGTTTTTGAAAATGTTGAAACAGGATGTTTTAACAGTTCTGAATTTTTTTTTTCAAAATTTTTTTGAGATGCATTGAAACCAACCCTTTCTCACAAACATTTTTGTTTCAACAAATCTACATTTTCTGATTAAAAAAAAAATTTGGGGGGGAAAATCTCAACTAGCTGTACTGACATGACCCCCCAGAAGTGGATGTCTTTTCTTTAGTAATCAAACACCATGGTCTTCTCAGTGTTTAGCAATGCCAATGCGTGAATGACCAAAACTGGAATGTAGGGAAACAAACAGAAAGCACCAAGAAAGTGAAAAATGAAGTTGGTTCTTAATTATCTTGTGGCCTGGGTCTCTCAGTGAATCCCCTTCCCAATGTACCCACAACCAAGGAGCTGGCGTGTGGGAAAGACAGCACATACAAATGTACCCTACTGCGGCAAATCTGGCACAGTTGCTTGAACACACCTGTATGTTTGCAATCAAGCCGGCCAACAGATGAGATTTACATTTCTTCATAATAATATACAGAGATGATCCAGTCTAATTGCTGAGTTAGCAGATATTAAAAATATGTAAGTACATTTACTAAGAAACCCATGTTGCCTTTGCAGTGAAGTTGTTTTTCTTCTGGTATACAGGTTTTAGGGACTAAGCCACTGCTTCGTGAGGATGATGATAATGATGATGAGGCAGCTGATATCACAAACAGGAGAATTGCTAAACTATACATGGTAAGCGCCAAATCTTTCTATTTCTATTGTGGCTAGATATATTGAAACAGTGACGTTCAGACATGCAATATCCCTTGTATGCTAAACTCTGTTTTGGGGCTGTAGACGCCTGTTATTTCCATCAGTTTGCAGTCGCTGGTGTAAATCAGTAAAGCTCAGTTAAATTCAATAGAGCTATAAATTTATACTAGACAAGGATTTGGTCTTGGAAATGTTTTTAACCATGCTGTTCAAAACTGTGGCCCTGATCCAAGGAGGGGCTTTAAGCCAGCTTCCCTTTTTGTACCTGCAAGTGATTGTACCTGCCGTTAGTTGTGCGTGCACATTGTGGGTGTGAATCAGTAGATAGAGCAGGCTTTAAATGCATAAGAATAATTCATGAGTGTAGGTGTTTTAGCTGCAATTATCAATTTTGAAGGATCTGCATATTTTTAATTATATAAGGTATTCATAGAACATGTATTTAAGCAGGGGTGGAGTAGTAAGTGATTTATTAATAAGATTGTGAGAAAGGAAGCTGATAAAAATCACAATGCTAATAGCTTAGCTCCCTCTGTTGGACGTAACGTGAAATGAAACAATTTTTTAAAAAGTTCTCATTAACTGTCACAGCTTTCCAGTAACGCACGGATTATATGAAGTCATTTATACAGGATTAGTAAAGCAAAGCTAATGTAGTTTGGGGAGGGGAAAGTGATCTGAGTGTGAAAGCCTGGGTTGATCTAAATCTGAAATTACTGCTTCCTCAGGTGTCAGATGCAAGTGGGTCCATGAAGGTGTCAGTGGTTGCAGAGGAAAACCCCTTCTCGAGGGCTATGCTGTTGTCTGAAGAGTGTTTCATTTTGGACCATGGTGCTGCAAGAAAGATCTTTGTGTGGAAAGGTAAGAGATGACCCACACTGCTTCTCGGGGACTAGACAGTTCACCCAGGAACCAGTGCTGGCAGAACTTGGGGAGTGCACACAGTACATGTGGGTACATAGAAGGGCTACATACTGCTTGAGCACGGCATCCTACAAACCCTATCTTGCCTGAGCAGTCCTTTCTCAGTTTTTTCTGTGGATAAGGACTGCTCACATGAGTATGGGTTTGCAAGGATTGGGTCCAGTCTATGTATCTTGGGTATTTATCAGCTTGGTGCCTAAGATCTGAACAGCAGTTATGAAGAAAGCATAAAAAATCACGTAGAGCCTTGTTTGTGGAATGGCAAATCATCATGATCAGGGACAAAACCCAGAGGCTGATTGCTTAATAATTAATGTAAACTGTACCTTGCTCTCACATACACAATATTGTTAGATACGGATGGGAGGTTGTAAAGCCAGCACTGGATAGAATCTAAACGTCATGCATCATTAAAAACATATGTTTATCATTACTTTATTGCTTCTTTGTTTGTTTTAAACATTTCTCTGTGCCAGCATAGGTGCTTGCAACAGTGTCTGGAGCTATGTTGACAGCACATTTCCCTGTAATAGAACAGTATTGGAAAATCAAGAATACCTGCACTCCTTGCATCTGGGCAGATTTCAGAGCTCCCATTAGATCCAGTATGAAGGGTGTTCTGTTCTCTGACTGAGCACAGTTCTTAATAAAATTGCTTTGTAGCAACTGCATTAGAAATAATACATCGCCAGTCATCTGCAGCAATCCAGGAAGTACTGCAAACATTTTGCCAGAATAAAATCTCACCTGCACATGTTCCGGCATCTTTTAAATAGAGAAGAGTTGGGAAGCACCCATGTGTCCCCTTAGGTGTACTGGTGCTGCTCCAGGCATTCTCTTTTGTGACTTATGTTAGCAACACAATTGGTTATAACCCTTTATTATCCAGGTTTCAGAGTAACAACTGTGTTAGTCTGTATTTGCAAAAAGAAAAGGAGGACTTGTGGCACCAAAGGGACTAACCAATTTATTTGAGCATAAGCTTTCCCGAGCTACAGCTCACTTCATCGGATGCAGTGAGCTGTAGCTCACGAAAGCTTATGCTCAAATAAATTGGTTAGTCTCTAAGGTGCCACAAGTCCTCCTTTTCTTTTTCCTTATTATCCAGTGAGTCTATTATTGTCTCAGTCCGCACTCTTGTACTGGGGGCAGCAATTACCATTTTAACAGCCCAGGGGCAAGGGGAAGTCAATGCACATTAACCATGTCCCTTTTACTAAGGCTTCAACTCAGGGACCATTGGAGCAAACAGTTCATTAGGTCAGGCACCTTTACAACAAACAGTTCCTGGGTCCAGGAATCATTACCACAATCATTTCATCAGAATGCCAAACTTACAGTCCACACCCAAGTCTCTGAATCAGGTTAGGCTTGTCTCCAGGTGCCTCAGGGAGTAAATGCCACACACTGCAGCCTGCCTGGCTTCTACTCCTCTCTCTTTCTGTAGGCTCTAACCTGGCCCTTAAAGCGATAGCTCCCCTTTCCCCATGCTCTCTTTCACAGCTTCTCTCTTGCAAAAGCTGTATTCAGAGGAGACAGCTTTAAAGCAATGCTACACAGGCTGCTTCAGCAACTGTCTCATTCAAAATCAAATGTACTGAGGCTCCAGCAGAACAGCTCAGATCTGGGCCTTAAAATGCAATTATTAATGGCGCTGTGGGGAACAGAACCAGGACACAGTGCAGTTCCAGACAGTGATTCAGGAATGTCGAAAAAACTCTGGAGCCCAACAAGGAGCAATGTGTGAGGAACAGTGGTGGCATGTGACATGCCAAAGTCTGGCTAATAGGGAGTTTCATTTAACCAAGTTATGGAAGAGAGGGGTTGATAGGCAATGGGCTTGGCAGCTGTGGAAAGCAACCTAATTTCCCACCTCCCCCTTCCAGCAATGCAGATAGCCAGTGAGCTTTTGCAAGTCGAGCCTTTCTAAACACAGCACACATCATGATAATTATTTTCACCCAGGCTATCAATGCAAACAGACACATTTTAAAAAAGTGAACAGATTATTTTTATTCATTTTCAAAATCAGTAGAATTTAGATTTTTGGCAGTTTGACCTGGTGCGAATCTCTTTGCCTACCTCTGTTAGCAGACTTTAGTTTTGTCACTGTGCAGCCTGGAGGCAAACAAAATGTAAGAATGAACTATGTTAAGGGATACCTCATTCATTTGCAACTTCTCCCAGGAATTTTTCTTTTACACCTTCTGAGAACATGTTCCCTTTCCCCTGCCCGTAATCTTGTCCTGTTTGTTTTAATCAGGCAAAGATGCTAACCCACATGAGAGAAAGGCAGCCATGAAGACTGCCGAAGAATTCATACAACAAATGAACTACCCTGCCAACACCCAGGTGCAGTACGTTTGTGAGATAAATAATACAAGAGATTTTTTTTTTAAATATTGGTCAATTGTTTAAAGTGCATGTGGTGCTATTAATCAGTTTAGCCAATCATTTTTTAAGGTTGGGGGGGTTAATTGATCAAAATAATTCTCATAACATTGCCTATAAATAGTGATGTGTGAATCTCCAAATGTTTGGTATACACAAGTATCCAAAAGTTTGGAGAGTCAGTGAAAGGGATCACTAATGTAGAAAGCTTCTTATTTATTCATTTGAAGTAAGATAGTTTGTACAAACCTTACTCATTCAATGCCTGGCTTCAGTTCCAGACCTCATTTTTTAGATTACCAACAACAACAATAAGAAATTTATCTCATATGTGGAATGTCTCATAATAGAATCCTTGCTCTTCACTCTCTCCCCCATCACAACTTCTTGCCTGAAGGATCAGACTCGAAGTGGAGTCAGGCATCTTCATCCTTCCTTTTAGGAAAACTCCTCTGTGAAGAAACAGATCATGCAGCATGCCTTAAAAGCAGTCAGATTCAGGTCAGCCTCATCTCCACCAGGAGCTTGCTCCACAGCTGCCAGATCTCTCCCCGGAGAGCTCTGTCCCTGGATCTGGCAAGATGGACCCTAGGTTCTGTCGGCCACTGTGCCCAGTTGATTATTGTAGCTATCTTCCTGATTTGTGCAACAAGGCCCACTCCATATAGGACTTTGTAAACTAGGAGTAGCTCTTTGAATTGGGTTTGGAAGTGGATAGCCAGCTAAGAGCTGGTGTGATACATTCTTAATGCTCTGTCTTGATCAGCAGGTGGATTGCTCCATGCAGTACTAGCTTTAATTTCTGGATAGACTCTTTGGCTACCTGCAGATTGAGAACATTACCAGTAATCCTAAATTGGAGGTCTGAAAGGCATGGATCACCGTGGCCACATGTCATTTGAGAGGGTCTCAAAAGTGGCCACAAAAAATTAGAACAATTTGCAACCAGTGGACCATCAGCCACTCAAAATATTCTACTTTGCTCCACTAAAGGGACAGTAGTAGTAACATACCGGCTTTCGCCTCCCCCATTTCTTCTTTACTTGCAGATTCAAGTGCTTCCAGAAGGAGGGGAAACTCCCATCTTCAAACAGTTCTTCAGAGACTGGAAGGATAAATATCAAAGCGAAGGCTTTGGGAAAGTCTATGTCACTGAGAGAGTGGCTAGAATTGAGCCGATTGAATTTGATGCTACCAAGTTACATGAATTTCCACAAATGGCTGCCCAACACAATATGATTGATGACGGTTCAGGGAAAGTGGAGGTAATTTTGTAATTTTAAAAAATTGAAATATAACATATATATATATATATATAATTTCAACTACCTACCATATATACTCAATCATAAGCTGGTTCATTTATAAGCTGACCCCCCCAAGATGGATAAGTAAAAATGGTAAAAACTGTATGACCCTTTCATAAGCCGACCCTATATTTCAGAGGTTGGCAAACTTTGGCTCCTGGCCCATCAGGGTAAGCAGCTGGCGGGTCAGGACTTTTTGTTTACCTGGAGCGTTCGCAGGCACAGAGCCCCTCAGCTCCCAGTGGTTGCAGTTTGCCATTCCCAGCCAATGTGAGCTCTGGGAAGTGGTGCCACTTCCCGCAGCTCCCATTGGCTGGGAACGGCAAACTGCGGCCACAGAGAACTGAGGGGCTCCATGCCTGTGAATGCTCCAGGTAAACAAAATGACAATGTATTAGATATTCAATGATTTCATAGAGTTTAAAATCATCAAATTTTGGTGTAGACCCGTTTATAAGCCGACCCCCACTCTTTGATGCGTCACATTTTTACCAAAAATATTCGGCTTATGAACAAGTATATATGGTACATTCTCATGTTACTTTTACTGGTTAAGTTGTTATTTTGCAAGTTTAAACTGTTGAGTAGTTTGGTTGCAAAATCTGCAGCTTTACATCTCAAGAGCCTTTCGGTGGAGAGGGAATGAATCCCCTTGTCATCTATGTGCTGTACAGTTTGTTCTTCAGTAAAGTGCTTTGATGCCCATTAAAAATGCTATATCAGTCACTCTGTACAAAAGTAGAACTGCCACCCCTCTTACAAAATTAGGCTTGGCAGAATTTGATTTCTGTTTTTGTTTTTTTTTTAATAATTTGAATGGATATCACTGTTTCTTTTTAAGCATTTTAATTTTTTTTATCTATTTAAATTTTTAAAGTTGCACAGAATTATGGGGTTGGAGCACTTTTTTTCAATTTTTGTCTATTTAAATTGTCACAATTGCTGGAAATTATTGTGGGGGTCAGACAATCATTTAATGACAGTAGAAATTGAGATGGCTTGATAAACTATTAAAACACAAATTGTCACCACCACATATCAAAATGTACAACGTACATAGCTTTAAATTAAACTGTAATAAGTTCTCAAGCAGCATGTACCCTACTTTGCCTATCTGTAAATGTCAAGTATTATTGATGAAACAGCTTTTTTTTTTTTTGACAGTTTGTGCGTATATGGTGAAATCAATGGTTATCGACATTTACCGATAAAAATCTAATCCTTAAATCCTTCCCAGCCTCTATATAATGTATTTAAAAGAAATACTTTAAATATGACACTTATTCTAAAGTGACAGTTCTCCCTTCTCTCCACTTAGAAGCCTGCCAGTTAAAGAGTATGGGTGAAATCCCAGAAGTCAAAAGTCAATGGGAATTTTACCCATTCACTCTATATCTGTAAGTCCTTCATACACCAGGTCTGTTCTCTGAACGCAGTCTTCAACTCAAGGCTAGAGAGCTCCTTCACAGAAGCAGAATGAGTGGGTTTCATTGCCCAGCCGTGGGGACTGGACTCAGAGAGGGCAAGATGGCATGATACGCACAGTGCAGGGTTCCACACATGACTGTAAACCCTCGAGTCCTTGCTCCCATGTTGAGGATACATTGGGGCAACACAGGGTTATATTAGCCATTGGGCTGACATAACAGAACAGCTCTGCAGCTTGTGGGGAGTATTCCTCTTGTTCCTTATGGGATTACTCTGTGCACTGCCTGCTGTTTGAGGTGGCCAGTGGGTCCCTGGGCTTAGCCCAGGTTGAATAGCGGTCTTAGCCTTTAGCAACTCAGGTCTCAAGCATTAATCATATGACATAGAATTGAAATATACAGGATCAAGTGAAGGATAATGTGTGCAGCAGTGGGTACTTGTCTGGAGTGCAGCATACCTTTTCCTTGTGGAATTCTATTTCATTAATGTGGTACCATTTACCTATGACATGAAGGAAAGGAATGTGAATGGATTAGTGTAAGTGACATTACATGATGTGACATCAAAATGTCAAGAAGAAAGCACAATATTTTCTAATTGACTTCCCGCTACAATTCATTTAGTTAGCAGTGCTGGGCCGAGCGCACTGCAAGATGGTTCAGTCTCTGTCATTTAGGATCACCTGATCTTTTCTGATGGCAGTTAGGTTAACATAGTATTTGGAGACAGAAAACAGGTGTTGCTCAAGAAGGTAACATAGTAAGTCATTTGACCACTTCCCCGATATTCAGCTTCAAGTCGAATGCTGATGAATTCCAATATTTTCCAGTGATGGCTTTGGTTTCCTAGGTCTGGCGTGTTGAAAGTAATGGCAGAATCCCTGTGGCATCTGAGACATATGGAGAATTTTTTGGCGGTGACTGCTACATTATACTTTATACTTATCCTAAAGGACAGATCATCTACACATGGTATGTTTGGTCCGCATTCAGCCCACGGATATTGTATTATTTGCTGGCTTTATGTGAGTTGTCCCACTGAAACCAGTGGGAAGACTAACATGTCACAAGGGTCCCAGGGTTGGGGAAGGGGTGGAGTAAGCACCACACTTAATTTTTATCAAACCTAGGCAGAGCCAGGAGTAGATGCAGGTCAGGATCTCAAGTGGGGGGTTAGAGAGACTCCCTTGCCCTGGCACAGCATACAGTAAAACAGCACCCCATGCCTAGCTAGACACACACAGACTCTCTGGCCTGAGCCAGTGCAAATCTCTCTCCTCCTCCCCAGTCATTCCAATCTGTCCGTGCACTCTGATACTGGCACCTGCATTGAGAGCCCAGACAGGTGGGTCTTGTAGCGTGGTCTCAGCTGTCCTGTCAGCTCCAGGCTGTGTACCTGTAAGAGTCCCCTTTTGGAAGCAGCTGGCTCCCCTGCAAGATGATCCTAGTGTAAACTCTGAAGCCCTGTGCTCTGGGGGTGTCTCAGTCTCTGCCCCAGCTCCTTGCTACTGCTTCTCCTCTGCCATTCCTTTTGTTGTCTCCCTTAACCTTCCCAGGCTTGTTCCCCATCCCATTCCCTCCCCATCTGCTCTTTGGCTCAAACCCTCCCAGTGGTCTGCAGTTTAATTTTGTGTCCATGGTCTGGCATGGTGCTGCCCCCAGCCTGACAGGTCTGCACAGAGTACTAGGGACTGGTTGGGGGAAAGGGGGGAGAAAGGAAGGGAGGGGGAAAGTGGCTCTATCCAGTCCCACACCTGCATAAAGGCTGTAGGAGCTGACTTACTTATTGTGTGCTTTGCTTGAAATATATGTTCTGGATCATTTTGAAACTGGGCTTCAGCTTTGTTTCTTTCTTCTTCACTCTCAGGCAAGGGGCACATGCAACAAAAGATGAGCTGACTGCATCTGCATTCCTGACCGTTCAGCTTGATCGGTCACTAAATGGACAGGCTGTCCAGGTTTGTGTCTCTCTAAGGAATAAATGTGACCTAGTTTTCTTTTAAAAGAGGTGGCCAATCTTAGTAACACCCCGGGCCACACAGACAACTTGTCTGGTGTATGGAGGCTACATCTGTATTGCACCTAAGTGAACATAAACAAACGTCCTCACAGAACTGTATTTTCTTCCCCCTGTAGCTTACTTTGGAGATGAAATGAAATTGCTTGTCATTTGAGTTCACCAGAAATAACAATGGTTGATTCAGGCGTCTTCCAGGCATCCCCCCTACTTCCTCAGTAATTCCACATATTCTCCCTTTCTTGTTGTGACATGGCTTGACGTAGCCTGTAAGCTTTGGAAGCAGGGAATTTGTCGTCTTCTACATTTAAAAAGCACCATAGACATTTACAACACTAACTGGCTGATTTGTATTTTTTTTCCCATTGTTACTACTTGTTAAAGAAGTTAAAGAAGGATGGGCTGGGATGAATGGACTATAGATTGGATAGAAAGTTGGCTAGATTGTCAGGCTCAATGGGTAGTGATCACTGGCTCCATGTCTAGTTGGCAGCCAGTATCAAGTGGAGTGCCCAAGGGTCGGTCCTCTGGCTGGTTTTGTTCAATATCTTCATAAATGATCTGGAGGATGGGTGTGGATTGCACCCTCAGCAAGTTTGCAGATGACACTAAACTGGGAGGAGAGGTAGATACGCCAGAGGACAGGGATAGGATACAGAGGGACCTAGACAAATTAGAGGATTGGGCCAAAAGAAATCTGATGAGGTTCAACAAGGACAAGTGTAGAGTCCTGCACTTAGGACAGAAGAATCCCATGCACTGATACAGACTAGGGACCAAATGGCTAGGCAGCAGTTCTGCAGAAAAGGACCTAGGGGTTACAGTGGACGAGAAGCTGGATATGAGTCAACAGTGTGCCGTTGTTGCCAAGAAGGCCAATGGCATTTTGGGCTGTGTAAGTAGGGGCATTGCCAGCAGATCGAGGGACGTGATCGTTCCCCTCTATTCAACATTGGTGAGGCCTCATCTGGAGTACTGTGTCCACTTTTGGGCCCCGCACTACAAGAAGGATGTGGATAAATTGGAGAGAGTCCAGCGGAGGGCAACAAAAATGACTAGGGGTCTGGAACACATGACTTATGAGGAGAGGCTGAGGGAATTGGGATTGTTTAGTCTGCAGAAGAGAAGAATGAGGGGGGATTTGATAGCTGCTTTCAACTACCTGAGAGGTGGTTCCAAAGAGGATGATTCTAGACTATTCTCAGTGGTAGAAGATGACAGGACAAGGAGTAATGGTCTCAAGTTGCAGTGGGGAAGGTTTAGGCTGGCTATTAGGAAAAACTTTTTCACTAGGAGGGTGGTGAAACACTGGAAAGCGTTACCTAGGGAGGTGGTGGAATCTGCTTCCTTAGAAGTTTTTAAGGTCAGGCTTGACAAAGCCATGGGTGGGATGATTTAGTTGGGGATTGGTCCTGCTTTGAGTAGGGGGTTGGACTAGATGACCTCCTGAGGTCCCTTCCAATCCTAATATTCTATGATTCTATGATACTCATAATCATCACCATTGTTTTTCTCACCATGCAGAGGGAAGCTGTGGAGCACATTTTAGGACTCCGTTAATATATTGGATTTTTTCCCTCTGGAAACTGGTGATCAGATCACGAGTAAAAAAGAGTTCAGACTCTCCACAGTCCTTAATGAAAGGGCTTGTTTTCTATGCCCTTTAGTTTTTCACACCTGCTTTGTCAATGGCACAAATCAGTTTGCAACAGAATTTTCCAGCATAAAGTCACAGAATTCCTCCTTCCTGCCCATGCCAGTCCATCTCTTTCGGCCATTTTAAACCTTTTCATCAGGCACCTGCCATTCTACTGGAGGTTTCCTTGCCCACTTTGACCCTTGCTGTTTAATAAGGGCATATGAGTGTTTCCCCCAGCCACCTTCATGCCATTTTTGAAGTTGCTGAGAATGGCTAACCCTATGGAGCTGCTCTTTGTCAGACCTGATGACATGCTAGGGGCCAAATTGTGCCATTGAGATACTGTTTTGCATTGATGGGATAAAGATTTACCACCACAGGCAGAGCACCATGAAGCATTCTCCTTCAGGGTCTGATTTGTTCTTGTCACTTACACAGGAGGTAACTCATGTCTTTCCTCCCTTGTGCACAATCTGGCCCTATGGTAGTGCTCCCTTCTGCAGAAATGCAGGATGAGATCTCAGATACAAGTCCTTACCTGAAGGAATGTGGTGTGCAGGAGAGGACAAAGATTGCTAAGAGGTGTGGCTGGGGCAAGACCAGTTCTGATGTGACCCACTGTTCCCCTGCTAAAAATACCTCCTGCTCCTCTGGCCTTCTCTCATTCCGTCCTGCCTTCCATCACCCACTGGTCCCACTCCCTACCGCAGAGGTAGCTGGGGGGCCAACTTCCTGCCACAGAGCCCAGAAACAGTTCTGTGCTGAAGAAGTGGCTAACAGGGAAGGTGTAGCAGATGGGAGCGTTAGACCTGCTGCCCACTGGGACAAGCCTTCACTTCCATAAGGGTGATATGCAGCTCAGGAGGTGGGAGGGCTCTCCTTTGAAAGAGGGGATGGAGGAGGAGAAGGAGGAGGGCTAGGGAGAGAAGGGGGGTTACGAGGCAGGGGATGAGAACAGTAAAATGTTTGATTCCCATCCCTAAAGTATAAGTGTGAAGGTCTGTCATTTTTATCAAGTTTATAACTAATTAGATTGCAGGGGATAGTTTTAAATGTTAAATCAATAGCAATTGATTATTGACATCATACTAAGTGAAGGTTAAAATCTCTTGATGTAATTACTTAGTTGAAACCTTCCTAAATAAATGTTAAATAATTATTTTATAGTTAACTGAACTTTCTTTCATTAAGCTAAAAGAGTTCCATCTAATTGCAATGACTGTAATATTTAAAAGCTAATTACTTTCATCATATATATGCTAAATCTTATTATGTAAAATGGTATTTAGCATAATTTGTAGCATTTTCCAGTGTAACCATCTTTTTAGACACTAGATGGCACTACAACCCAAATTACACTCAAGAGAGAGACTGAAACTTTCCTTACAGCCACATATTTCCTAACAGGTTTCAGAGTAGCAGCCGGGTTAGTCTGTATCCGCAAAAAGAACAGGAGGACTTGGGGCACCTTAGAGACGAACCCATTTATTTGAGCATGAGCTTTCGTGAGCTACAGCTCACTTCATCATCTTTGGAGCAGATTTTTAAAGTGTGGCCTCTCTTTCGGCACCTGCGTATAATTGCCATGATTTTGCACAAATGGCGGGTGCAATTGATTTCATTCAGTTGTCTCACTCTCTGACTGCGCCTGCCTGTCTGGCAGTGAGACATCGAAATGGGATCGTGCCCACCATTGCTGCCACCTGCAACACTGTGGGAGCAAATGGAAGGCCAGGCTGAGGCTGGCCTGAAAAGGAGCCCTTTATCTCTGGGGTGACCAAAATGTTTCTCCAGTTTGTTAAAATGATTGCTTTGGGTTGGACTAGGGAGCCGGCACTCGGGGCGGGGGCAGCATGCGGAGCCTCCCTGGCCACCCATCCACATAGGGGCCACAAGGACCTGGCGGCCGCTTCCGGGAGCCATGTGGAACCAGAGCAGGCAGGGAGCCTGCCTTAGCCCTGGGCCCCTGCTACGCCGCCGACCGGACTTTTAACGGCCCAGTCGGCAGTGCCAACTGGAGCTACCAGGGTCCCTTTTCGACTGGGCATTCCAATTGAAACCCAGATGCCTGGCCTGGCAACCTTAGGTTGGACTGCAGTCCTACAATCCAGACAGAGTAAGGGGTTCACTCCTCAGTTGGAGGATAGGAATACTGTCACAATCTGCTTCTTGCTTCCCCGTGCTCCTAGCTCTTTTGTTGGCACAGATTACTCCCCCCTCTGCACCTGCTCTGATGCGCTCACTGATATGCCAAGGCTCTTCCCATTCCCCATCCTTGCCTGTCCTCTCCCCACTGGCAGAGGCTGTGCTCCTCCCCTGCTCAAGCTCGGGTGCTGTGGGTAGCCCACACAGGGTAATAAGGTGTCCCCTTGCTCCTTTGCGCTGGCTTGCAGCCACGCACCCTATCCAGCAGACAGTTCTCAGCCACACAGTGCATCAGCATGCAACCATCTCACAGAAGCTGCTCACCAACACCTCACAGGCTCTGCTCCTCCTAGAGTGCAAGTGTCAGGCTCCTCGGTGGCAGCCAGCTCTTCCTCATCTGCCTTTCCTCCAGCAGGCAGTGCTGAGCAGTTTGCTTCTTTGCTGCTGCCGGAGGCAGTGATCAGGGTTCTGCTAGGCTGGTATTGAGGCTCCTTCCCTCTCTCAGTTGAACATTCCCTTTTCTGGCCCTCTATTCCTTTTCTTGGATGAGGGAAAGCCATTTTCAGGGGGAAGGGAGGGAATCTGACATCTGACCCAAAAGGCAGAGGACCCAGCTGGTAGGCTGATGTACCAGGGTTCAAAGCAGAAGGCTCGGGCCAAAAACCAGAGGTTAGCGAGCTCTGTTTCTATGTATGTTGCAGTCTCTGAGGAAATGTGTCAGACTTGCTCATGGGCATATAAGCTCCCTCTGCTGGCTAAACTGGTTGCTTTGCACATTCAGGACACCACGTAGAAGTAGGTGTTTCTGGCATCTGAAGTAATGAGTTTTCTTTCCCATGCCAGCTGTATCAAGTGGTGGTCTTTGCTGTTTTCTCTCCCCTCATCTCCCTCTTCTCTTCTGTAGTGCTCCTTTTTAAAGAAAGATTTTAACCAATTCCCTGTTCCATCCCTTTACTTTTCACCTTTCTTCTCATTTATCCTCCATCATTCATTCCTCTGATGCATACAGTACTTGATATATATGTGGTATACTTCAAATCATGCTTAAAGTATGCTGCTCTTGTATACTACAAGAGGGAAGGAAAACAGAAAAAAGTCTCTGGGCAGAATGTAGCCTTTAGTTGTCATCTTTTTGTTTCCTCCAGAGTGAAGAAATAGAGAATTCTGCTGTACAATAATAAATGTATGTTATTTTTATATTAAGATGCCCTGAAAATTAGAGGCATTTGCCAGTTCAGTTTTAAATACCATCTTTTCCCATATACACTAGAAGTTTATATTGTCAGCCTAGTTATCCATCGCCTGGTGGATTTATGCTCCCTTTTTCATCCTCATACAGACCTAGAAATAATGGCTATGATGAAAAACCCGTTTTTGCTACTTCGTTTAAATACAAATCCCCTAACCTTCAGAACTAGAGTCTTCCAGGAGAATTAAATGCCTACATAAAACCTCTGTACAGAGGCAATGTTTTTTCAAAAAGAAACAGTTTTCTTATTAAAGTAAATGGCAACCATCAGAGTTTTAATCCCTTAGAAACTAAATGGACAAGTCCCAATCTCAATGTTCTGTAAGAAATATTAGTCTGTGTGTATGTATTAGTATGAGTGACAAAACGGCTTATGAATGCTGCAACTACAGTGCCTCTGAAATAATGGGTGCTCAGCTCAGCTGAGACAGCTTGCCATTAGTAATTCTTCCTAACCTACTTACCCTGTTAGCTATCATCACCTTGGTCTTCAGTCATGCCAAAACTGATGTAAAATCCTTTAATTTCTTTTCCTTTATTTGTACAGATCCGGGTCTCCCAAGGAAAAGAACCTACACATTTGCTGAGTTTGTTCAAAGACAAACCACTCATTGTCTACAAGGATGGAACATCCAAGAAAGGAGGTCAGAAACCCCCTCCCTCCACGCGTCTCTTTCAAATTCGCAGGAACCTGGCTTCCATCACCAGGATTGTGGAGGTAAAAATCACCTGTTCACTAAAATATTCCCCCTGTAACATAGTACAGTTGGAATGAGCACCAGAGTGGCAAGCGTGAGTTAAAATCACTTCTGTTTGATGGTTATAGTATGTGTAGGAACAGAGGAGCTCACATTCTGGATTGGATCAGAAGCCATTCCAGGTCTAATCCAGTATGACGTCTCTGACAGTGGCCAGTACTAGATTCTTCAGAGGAAGTTGCAAGAAACCCCATAGTGGATAATTAAAGAATAAGCTGAGCATATGGAAAGTTTCTTGCTAACCAGGACACAGACCTGAAGAAGAGCTCTATGTAAACTGGAAAACTCATCTCTCTCACCAGTAGAAGTTGGTCCAATAAAAGATATTACCAAATCCACCTTGTCTTCCTAAGCCTGGGCAGCTAGTTAAAATTCTTCTCTCAGGCCAATTATCAGTTTCAAGTGAGATGTTACCGGTACGTCTACACTGGAGCTGGAGGTGTAATTTTCAGTTTGAGTAGCATATGCGTGCCAATTTTGATTAAACAAGTGCACTAAAAAGAGCAGCTGCAGCAGGTCAGGCTAGCTGTCCAAGTACAAACGTAGGGTCTTGGATAAGATCATACTTGGGTGGCTAGCCTTTGCCACAGTGGCTACACTGCTATTTTTAGTGCATTAGCTGGATAAAAACTAGTGTTCTTATGTCTGCCTGGGATGGAAGTTACACCTGCAGCTCCAGTGTAGATGTGCCCCAAGCTAGTGCAGTGTAAATCTAGAGAAACACCACAGCAGAAAGTGCAGTTCCTTTGGATTTACACCAGTATTACAGCTTTACATCAGTGTGCAGACAGGTGAATGTGTGAGTTATTTAAAAATCAGAAGAATGAAACAATCTCATTCTTGCTCTAGGTTGATGTTGATGCAACTTCATTGAACTCCAATGATGTTTTTGTTTTGAAACTGCCAACAAACTCCGGCTACACCTGGGTCGGAAAAGGAGCAAGCAGAGAAGAGGAAAAAGGAGCTCAATATGTAGCCAGGATTCTGAAATGTCAAACCGCTAGGATTGCAGAAGGCCAGGAACCAGGTTAGTTCTGGGCGATCTGGCTGCTCAGTGGGATGGAGGGTGCACAATACCAGACAGGATTGGGTCCCAAATGTGCATACAAATGGGTTTTTTGCAAATACACACTTTTGTGGACAAACCGGTTACACTCCCCTTTCTTTGAAAATCTGGCTGTATTTTGCAATAAGGATATTTGTCCAGGATCTGAGCTGATTTACAAGTGGTACTATCTATAGAAGTCAACTGAGTTGCAGTGGATGCAACAGAATTTAGCCCTTTACACATACTGAATGACTAAAACAAATAGAGAGAGAGAGCAAGGTCTGATTACATGTAATCACATGAATATCTGCATTGGCTTTTATAAACATTGGGAAGAATAGAACTATTAAAGAAAAACATACACATTATGGGCTGGGCAAAGGGAATATTGTTTGGGGATTTTTGAAACAATATCCATCCAGTTAAAGAAGAAAACATAAAACTCAATGCCAAGTAGATTATATCATGTATATTCCAGAGGAATTCTGGACAGCCCTTAGAGGTAAGAAGAAATACCAGACTTCAGCACAGCTGCTAACTGAGTCTGAAGACCACCCTCCTCGTCTCTATGGCTGTTCCAATAAGACTGGCAGGTTTATTGTAAGTATATGATGGATACTTTCCCCTCTGTTAGTTCTGTACTTTGAGATATTGGGCAGCAATAGACACTAAATGAAACACCACCTGAGGCCTCCATTGACCCAGCATGGTACCTTTGTGAATTGTTAGTCTACTATTCCGATACTTATTAAGCAGCACAAGATAAAAATGGTGTAGAGTGTCTGGGCTAGTCCTGTAGGGTTACAAACCGGTGACTGCTGGAGGGAAATAAAAGTTCAAGACTATTTCATTCTCATTTTGTTATATGCAGATCAATGCGGTGGGAGAAAAAAATGTTTGATGGAAAAGATGAATGTGTCAAAATTAGACTTGCACATTAGTAGGTTTATTTAAGAATTCAAAATCATGGCCTACACTACTGCTCTCTGTAGAGGTGTTGATGGTGGTGGCATCTGGAAAGCTAGAGGGGATGAGCGGTGCTCTGAAGACATAGAGCAGATGCAGACATGAATGCCTTAGGAAGTTGTGGGGAGAGCCCTGCTTCTGAAGGAAGTAGCCTGTACTCCTACTAATGTCTGCTACCTGCAACTAGAAGGTGCACTGATGGGTAAGGCCTTGACTAAACCCTCCTAGCCATGTTTTCATAGAGCCCTGGAGAATAGCCAGATATGCCAGCTGAGCCCACAGCCAGTTCAAGAAAATGTTAGGTCTATATCGTCCCTGGGTCCATCAAGTGTGTGCTAGTAGTGGTGGGGAAAGGGAAGGTTCCTTGAACCCTCATTAACCCATAGTGCTGGAAGCAGCCGGATGTTTTTCTGTAATTGTGCCATTGAGGGAGGTGAGGAGGCAAGCTTCCCCAGCAGGCACTTCCAGAGCCAGTGTATGTGACTGAGGCGCATGGATGCAGGGAGCTCTGAGAGCACGGGCACTGCCCCACACTTGGAAAGGAGGCACTCTCTCTTGGGCGAATGCTGCTGACGAGCCTGAAGGGAATGGAGCTTCTCCCTACTCATGCCCCTTGCGGAAAGCTCCCATCCAATTTAAAAGAGATGGAACCAGTAAGGTTCTTAGAAAAGGACTAAGATCTTATAAAATGTAATGGAGAAGTATATCTTTCCTGCAGCCTTTTCAAACCCTCCCATGGAAATCCACAGAGGAATAGAATTTGCTATAAAGGTCTACAAGATGTTTTTTTAAAAAAACCCTATATCCAAAGTTATCACCGTCTATTAAATTCCATAGGACCTGGCCTCACTTTAGTGCTCACCTTCCCATGTCTTTGCACTCAGGACAGCACAAGGAGCTGATCATTCCCAGCTCCTGCACATGCTCACAAAAGAGGGGAGGGAGAGAAGGTTCTTTGCACCTTCTGCCCTCTCCTCACCTCAGCATTGCCCCAGGGCCAAGCACAGACAAGCCTTGCAATCACATCAAACAAAGGCAGCCTGGCCACTAGCTGAACTATTACCTATCCTACTTGATACAAACCAGAATGGAACTGTTTTCCTACTTGCTTTTAACACATCTGAAGAAGTTAGCCTCTGATTCTCTTGAGTCCCAACCCTGAATTCCTTAGTCAAACCAAAGATCCCATTTTTTTTAAGTCAGTGGGAGTTTTGCCATTTCAGGACTGAGTCCATGGACTGCACATCAGAACTATCACCTTCCTTCTCTTAATTGGTGTTGTAGTAAATGTTAATGCCCATGAACATACGAGCTGAAAGTTTGGCTCTGTCCAGGCATTTAGTGCAGGTAGGCAGTAAGCGGATTTCCTTGCCCCTGTCCGCCAGTGCATCTCAGTCCCAATTTACACAACTCACTGCTACTATTTGAAATCTGTGCCTCTCCTGAGCACAGACAATTGTGCCAAATTGAAAGATGGGTTTATGATGTGGCCAGATGTCTGATTTGCTCCCACCAGTCTACTGCGTTTCACTCATAGATCAAAATAGGTTTTGAACCTGCTTCTGCAGAAGAAAAGAAAAAAAGCAAATGCATGACTGTTTTTAGAGTCATCCCTTTTAAAAGTCTCATCTTTGTCCAAACTCAAGCATGATGGAAAATCTTGAATGGAATTACAATACCAATTTTATTATCCATTTTAGATTGAGGAGGTCCCAGGAGAATTCACTCAGGATGATTTAGCTGAAGATGATGTCATGTTGTTAGATACGTGGGAGCAGGTAAGCTATGTACTTAACAATGCTTTATGTGGTGACAAAAAGGATTTACTGCTAGCAACAATTTATGGATGGACAACCAGCGAGAAGACAGTAAGAGAATTATCATAAAGAGGAGAGGGGTGAAGATAATTACATACCAAAAGTACCATGTTGTGAGGCTAGAAGGAATTTCGCTTTCTTGAAATTATAACTGAGGAAGAAAATAGAGCTATTTGACATGCAAGTATGAATATCCACTACATTTTCAAACCATTGTGCAAGATTATAGTTGCATTTCCCCTTAATGCTAATGGAAGCTGCTTGATTATAAGCGACTACGGTGCACTGCAAGTCAGCCCAACAATGTTTTGGACAATTCTGTTTAATGTCTTCACAATTTGTGTACAAAAACTTTTCCAAAACTTCAGAAGCCTCCAGAAGACCATAGCAGTATGTGGCAGAAAAAGCACATGAGTAGAGAATGGGCCAAATCATAGGCTTCTGCTGAGCACCTTTGCAAACTGGTCTTCTTCAGGGGAACTTCACAGGGATTGGAGAAAACAGAAGCTTGCTCCTTTCCCCCAGCTTGTGGGAGACCAGCACAGTTGCTCAGCAGCTATTACTACAGCTGAAGGGCAGCATCCATCCAAAGCAAATGGGTTTGGCTTTTAGATCCATCATGCCCCTCCACCCTAACCCCCATCCACACTGCTCTACAAAGGGTTGTTATGGCTTTTTCACAGTATATAGGGAGTGAGGAATCGCCTGCATTGCAGAACCAGGGCTGGATTTGGCCCAACAAACAAAAACACTAAAGATGTTTCTCATATTTTTTTTTATCACACGCTGAAAAAGTCTGGTTTCAGAGTAGCAGCCATGTTAGTCTGTATCCACAAAAAGAAAAGGAGGACTTGTGGCACCTTAGAGACTAACAAATTTATTTGAGCACAAGCTTTCGTGAGCAACAGCTCACTTATTACTAGTAACACATGCAGAACACACTGCCCTGGTTTGTGATCTATACAAGCTGGGGGGAGGAGCGGATTTCAGCATGGGTTATAAATAATGAGCCTGATTCCCCTGTTCCTTCCATCTGTGCAAAGTAAGGGTACAGTGCTACCCAGAATTCTGTTTGATTGTGGTTTTCACCCATCCTGCATGACTGCACAAGGCGCAAAGCCGAGGAAAATCAGGCCCAACATTTTTAGCTTAACCTGGAAACATGTGCGGTGCCAACCACTAGGACAAAGCTGTGAAAAGAGAAAGTCTAACAAATGTCCCTGGATTTTAGCACTGGACTTGCAAAAGTCCAGGATGTGGAGGTATTTTGAAGCATAGAACTGTGTCTGTAGAAAACTTGTGTCTTTATGTATGATGGGCAAGATTCTGATCTCCTTTACACTAGTGTAACTCTGGAGTCACTGCATTGATGCCTGCTTTTTCTCCGAATGGAGACAATGCAATTATTCTAGATTTCAATGGTGTAAATAAGATCAGAATCTGAGCCAATCCCCATAACAATATGACAACTAAACTTTTAAATCTTCTATTTACAGGTATTTGTCTGGATTGGTAAAGATGCTAATGAAATTGAGCGAAATGAATCTGTGAAATCTGGTAAGAAATGTGTTTGACAAAATGTTGAACGAAATGGATTCAGTGGTGATTAAAAATGAATGAAAGAGGAGATGTGAAATGGTCAGCACTCTAATTATACTAAGCATGGTGTTTAAAAGAGTTAGTGAGCTTGAGTAGCAATTACCTCTGAAGATTCCATGATTAGGTTATTCCCTCTTTATGTGCCATTTTAAACAATGCAACAGTCACCAAAAACTCTATTCTATCAACTCTATTCTTCTTAAATGTAACTTTCCATAAAGAATGAAATTCATCAACATGGTGTTAATAGGCACAAAATATCGTTAAAAAGTATAAAGGACCCGTGTCTGTAGCTGCTCCATGTACAGAACCTGCCCTGGAAGTTTTGTATGTGGAGTGACTATAGAATTTGACCCTAAACTATTTATAGCCAGAGAAATAGATAAAGCTTCCAAGTCTGCTCATTGTTGCCCTTCTCTAATTCTGTCATATGGGCTAAATTCTGCTCTCAGAATTTACATGGGTGCAAATCTGTTGTGTGCCTAAACTACTTGAGCACAGTAGTCTGAAATCCAATTTTTTTTAAATGTCCCTCTTTTGTAAAACATGTGCCAGCAGTGATGTGAATTAACGCATCTGAGCTATCATACCAAGATTTATATTGAAAATACTGGCACACCCTCACCTCAGACATAGTTACCTAGCTTGTTTTCAGACATTTACTAGCATCACTTAGACAAACCATTCGATTCAACCATAAGGCTCTTCCTTGGAAAAACCATGAGTGAAGCATCTACATTCCAGCAGCAGTACCTGAGGCCTTCACCCGTTCCAGAGCTAAAGAGCTATTATATGGTAGGACCCAAATGACCAGGGCAAAGACCACTGTGCCTGTATCTTGTTATTTTAAACTGACATCTGAGATGACAATTCTGAAAATTTGACTGGCAGCTAAGAGAAAGCAATAGCTATTTGATCATTTGATGTATTTAAGCTGAGTCAGTGTAATAATATCCTCATTTATTTTGCTGAGGATTTTAATTATTTTTCTCCTGGTGAATGGACTAATATTTTCCATGTTTTACTGTTATCTCTTTAGCCAAACGCTACATTGAGACAGATCCTTCTGGAAGAGATAAGGGGACTCCACTTGTTATTGTGAAGCAAGGATACGAGCCCCCTACATTCACAGGCTGGTTCCTGGGCTGGGATTCCAACAAATGGAAAAACTGATCTGTCGGTGAAGGCCTCCACTACAAAGAGAACAGCAATCAGAGCACAACTATTATCTAGCATTCTTAAGCATTAGCTTGTAAAACAATATTGATGCAGCTGTTGTCACCCATTCCCCAGCGTTCTTATATTCCTCTGCGTAAACTAGCATGTCTAAGCTTTGGAAAGGTTAAATGAGATGATAAAGTAGTAACATAACTTCTTGGTGGCGGGTTGGGTTTTTTACAAATCTATGTAGAGTGATACCATTGGTTTGGTTCTAAAATGCCTTTTTTCAAACAAAACCTGTACATCAGTAGCACATTAATATACAATTTACAAGCTAACATTCATCAGTGGGCCAAATTCTGCTTTTTACCCCAGCATAAGTGAGAGCACAATTTGGCCCACCCAGGACCCATTGAAGTTGAGGGGAAAGAATCCCAGCAGCAGGATTGAGCCCTAATTTACCTAAAGTGTCAAAATCCTGCAGTCCTTACTAGTACGAAACGTCCATTGCAGTCTGAATTAGGAGTGGGAGCTCTGTCCTGCAGGGTGCGGATGAGGATTCTGAGAGAGCCAATGTGAAAATGATACTTTGTTACACGTGGTCCAGGAAATGGATATAATCTGAATGGAGAAGACACTATAGGCTTGAATGAATGTGATGTGAACATATATCATCATGAGGCCTAGCACAGTTGGCTGTGACAGACACTGTTTCTATAGAGCCCTCAGACATGGTCGCATGTTATCCCTGTTCTCAGATTCCTCTAATTTGGGGGTCTCAAAGTCCCGGCCCACGGGCCATCTGCGGCCCGAGAACCTCCCCACTGTGACCTGCGGAAACTTTTAAAGAAGTTACTTCATCCGGCCCTCATGGCTGCTGGCTGAAGGGGGAGGCTGGAGGGGAGCGGGCAGGAGAGATTCACATGTCCCTCTCCGCAACATTGCTCCATCCTGCTGGGACCCTCCCAGGGGTTGCACTCGGCAACGTGTCGTTCGCCTCGGGCAGCTTGGCTCCCTGCAAGCGGTTCCCTATCCCTCCTGTTCCCGGCACGGAAGACAGACCCATGCAGCCACGCTGCCGGCTCTGTCCACTGCAGGCGCTGCCCCCCGCAGTTCCCATTGGCTGGGGGAGAGGGACAGAGATACCATCACTAGTGGCCGGGCAGAGTCAGCCATGGAGGCAGCATCATTAGTCGCCGGGCAGAGTCAGCTGGGGCGGCATGAGGCCAAGGGAGGCGAGGGAAAAGGGTGGGAAACAGGCTGGGAGGTGGCGTGAACACCATCTGCAGTGACATTATTGGCCCTCTGGGAGGATCTGAGGACTGGCACCGGCCCTAAGGTAAATTGAGTTTGAGACCCCTGCTCTAACTGCTGCCCTTAAACACACTTAAGTGAGCTATTGCTCCTAACAGGCAGCAGGAGTCACTGACACCTTTAAAAGTGGATGAACACACATCATTTCATTCACCGGACTGTAAGCACACACTGCATATCCCAGCCACAAGTTATCTCAGGCTGCACCAGTCTCGTTTTTTCCCCTACTCATCAGTGCTCAGTTCTGTGCAAGTGTAGAGATTTGCTCATATGGCCAAACAGATTGTGTTTTTCCTCAATGTGCAGGAGACTGAAACTCTTCACACGGGTGCTGAGCAGACTTCGAATGTGCTGTGCCAATGCTTTGGGGAACCACTTTTCTTTCAGCAGCACGGAGTATCCTGTAAAGATGGAGCTCTGAGTAAGCACTGTAGAATCTGGCCTGGGGTCTCTCTCAAAAATTGCAAAGAATCACATAGTCATTCTGGTGTGAAGAATGCAGATGATTTTTATTCTTGTGAATTTAGAAAAAAACATGTTCAAACAGTGTGTGTGTTTGTGGTTTAACCATACAACTCCCTGTAAAGTTAGCAGGGACCATTCAGCTTCAAACCTGTCGCAATGCTTTGAACATTTATCCCGTAGCATTCATTTTAATGCCAATGTGTACATCGGTAAATCAAATGGACTCCGTGTCAATGTGAATTTTTAAATAAGGAATTCCAATTGTGTTTTTTTAATTGTACTTTTAAATGAGTTTGAAAATGGAATTTTAAAAATGGCTTTTTATATTTTTTCTATATGGTTAATGGTGAATTGGAAGCTCAGTAAAGCCAAAGGAGTGAAAGCAGTCTCAACTTCATTTGTCAATATTATTGAACCAAGTTGCATGGCTGGGACACTGATAGCGTAAGAACCAGGGAATACTGCACCATATTAAAATATAAGAATCTAATTCTGTTTTTCAAGGGTTGGGAGGGTGAAGAGGGTTAATTCTGGGAGTTTGTTAGCTTAAAGTGTTTGTTTAAATCTATATTAATGCAATTTAGCTGTATTTGGATGTGTCATTTCATGTAAAAAAAATGACAAAACACAACACTATAACAGTTTGTGGAAAGCTGATTTTTTTTTCTCCTGAAACATTCTTGTTTATTTTGTGTGCCCATTGATATTTAAAAGAATGGCAAACACTCACTTCCTTCTTAGGGGGACAATTTAATTAGCTAGTAATTAATCCTCTGCTGGTGTAAATTAGAGCTGCGTCAATTTACACCCACAGAGAGTTGACCCATCATATCAGCTCATCCAGCGACATTACGAAGTTATTCAAAACATGCTTTGACTAGCAGCCAAGAAGTGCATGCTTATCAGCATATTATTTCATCTTTAAGGAAAGTTAATAACATTGTGATCAAATTAGTCAGCCAATTATCAATTTCCTTTTTGCAGCCCTCTTGGCAGGACACACGATGGGTAATGTGTGTAAAGATCATTTTATGGAAAAGGAAACAGCATGTTTTTTAAAAAGGATGTCCTCTGCACTTTTCTAAGAGACTGCAAGTAGGCTAAACAGAAGGAATATTAAAAAGAAAAGCTTACAACCTCAGTTGATCAGTTAATAGGGTCCTATGGACAATCAGCAACCTGTTGCCCACTCACGATTTTAGCAATCTTTGCCATGTCAGAAGAGTGTATTATAAAATATAATAATGCCTTAATTGTATTATAAACAGAATTTAGTCTCACTTATGTAGATGGGATCAAAGTCAAACTATGTTTTAACTGTGTTCCAGAACACTGTTACAGCTCTGATCTTTACAGGGGCCTGTCAATATATTCCAAAACACAGATAAAACAAAGTTTTGGCTCATATGCAAGATAAACTGTGTTATAACTTGGGCAGGGCATTATGGTGTTTACAGTGATTACTGCTAGGTAGATGGGCATTAGGGCCTTATGACTGAAACAATTCTATCAACTGTGTTTAAGCACAATGGTTGTTAGCAAGGCTCCACAACGTTTCTCTGATCAGTGAGGGCTTTAACAAAATAAAGAAATAAAAATCTTGTTATAAATTCCTTAAAAAAGAAAAACATCTTTGACCACATTGGTCAGTGAAGCTGTGCTCAGTTCTATTTAGGTGCCTAACTCTAAGCACCCAGATTTGGAAATTGGGGCCTATTTGTCTCTGGCAATGCCCACAATGTGCTAGGTGCTGTACAAATAGGATTTTCAGTTTCCTCTACAGCATCAGATATATTGGACACTGACTAAGACAGGTCTCCAGACAGCATGGACCAATAGTCTCATCTAATGTGGCAAGTCCCGTAACCAAAGTATATATTCTCAATGAGAGCTGTGAGTGCTCAGCACCTCTGAAAATAAGGCTACTTTAGGGGCTTCAGTACCTAGTTTTAAGGTCCCAAGCGGCAAACACAAGTGTCTTGTTGCACAGAGGTTAGAAAGGGAAAATGTGGGTATAGAAACACTCAGAACTGCACCCAAGGGTGAGCCACATCTTGCATTATTACCAAACAGGAGAGGGCACTATTTGTCCATTTATAATAGCAAATTATTGCAGTAGTGTTATCTTTACTAGAAGACCAGTCTAAATCACTAAAAGAAAAAGCTCATGCTCAAATAAATTGGTTAGTCTCTAAGGTGCCACAAGTACTCCTTTTCTTTTTGCGAATACAGACTAACACGGCTGTTCCTCTGAAACCAGTCTAAATCACTAGTGATCATATGTGCTGCTGGTGGTAAATATAGTATCATAACTCATCAGCATATACTAAATTGAAATTGAAAGATCACAATTGAAATCATTAGGCCCAAAAGACCATTTTACGATTATAAATGGTATTAGTAATTTAGATCTATAATAATGTGGCCAATATCAGAATCTCAGTAAACATTACACATGGCAGAGAAGCCTGCCTCCAGGATCAGATAAGTATATTTTAAATATACACTTTTCCCTATAGAATTCTCTGATATCTAGCTGCAGTTCTGCTCTGAAAGGTGACTATAAAAAGGGTTGGTTTTTACTCAACAGTCTGTTCAGTGTGTGTGTGTATGGGGGAGTGTTTCAGAATTGTGCGTGCTTATATGTGTGACAAAAAGCATGTTACTCCTTTAGTCCTGAAGAGCCAAAACAGCTCTGGGAGAGCGGCTACCTTCTCTTCTTTCTCATACAGCAAAAAAATTTGTTCCAGCTGCAGAATCAAAGAGAGCCTAGAGGAGGTGTGACCATGGCCCTGCCCTCTAGCCATCTGTCAGCAGAATTGAGAGGATGCATACAGAGGGGGAGTATGTTGCACTCTGGCTGGCAGCAGAGAGGTGTACTCTCCCTACATACCTGAGAGAAAGTCTCTGTCCCTGAAGCTGATTACTTCCCAGATCTCTCTGGAGCAGTGCAGCTCCCTGCCACGTCCAATGTGGGACTGTGCCTTTAAGGCAGACTTGAGCCTAAAGTGAGAATACATTATGGAAATCACTAGTAGCCTAGAAAAACATTTTAATAATCATACTTCCTTACACAACCCCTGTTCTGTAACAGATTCCATTTGACACATCATGCCTCAATGTGAGGCCCACAGTCTTCCCCCCAAAAATGTTTGCTCTCTTTTTTTTCTCCGTGATCGTTGGCCCCTCTTGGGGTGTGAACCCTACACCATTAAAATCAGTGGGAATTCGATTTAAGTGGGAGCAAGATCAGAGCCTTAGCCCGCCCCAATCACCTAACATCTCATCATATTCCCCTTTTTATGCTATATTGGTTTGTTAATCACACTCATCGCCATAGTTTCTGAGTGCCTTTTAGTAGTGCATTAAGAAACGTGACTACACATCTGTTCTTTCATCCTCTCTCCAGGGGGAGAAGTGTGTGTGCAGTGAAGTTTCTTTTTTGGTAACGTTTTTTTGCTTTGTTTTATTTTTAAATATACCTGGTTGCTGTGTGTTTGCTAGAGAAGGCGAGGTCATAGAACTATGCCTCAAACTCGGAGTGGGAAGTTGTGAGGTTTGTGATGGTTCATTGCCAAAAGGAACCGAGTTGTTGACCACAGTCTTTGTCCCAGAGCGTTAGACAAGTTTTTAGCTATCCTGAGCCAAGCCTATGGAGTGCTTTGAAGATAAGGACTTTGAAATTCAATGGGCAGCCAGTGCAGCAAGCAGAGGACAGATGTGAAGTGCTTACAGAATCCTGTGTCACTGAGCAAATGCACTGCAGCATTCTGTACTAGCTGGAGTTTTCTGGGTGCTGGGCGGGGCCCTCCTGTGACTATCAACATGTTTATCTTATACTAGACAGTGACATGCTACACTCACTTGAAGCCATGTTTCCATTGTAGGGTTGCTGGAAGACCCCAGGATCAGCAGATGACCATTTTGGCCCTGCTGCCCTTACACTACCTTTCCCAATCCTTCTCATGCGATGCTCATGCAGGCCTGCTTTAGAAAAGTACTCCAACCCTGTCCTGTACAGCCTAAATTAAAAATGTGCTGGCTTCTCCAATTTACTTTTATTATTCCGCCGAAATAATTAGCAGCTCAGTGATTCTTCAGAGGATAAGTAGCTGGGATTACAAAAGCATCCCATGCAAAGCTACTTGTCAATTAAACAAATCAATCCCTGCTTCAAAAAGACACTAGGGACAGTGAGTTCAAAAAAGTGGATGCCCTCTTTCCCCCACAGATTCCAGATTTCACCAGAGTGCCATGAAATCTGGGATTCGTGGCATATAAAAAACGCACCAAAGGGCAGATCCTCCAGCAAGAAACTATTAACCAATTTTTTTCCTCAGATTTATTCCTTTGCTATAATTACAAGCATAACAATTATTCAAAAGATAGGCAGACCTCTCATAATCTACTACCACTTGGGATGATATTCTGAACCAGATCAGTTCTGGTGCAAAATGGTTCTGTGAGGACTTGTGTCACTGGAAGCCAAGAGGTTGGGGGAGGCTCTAGGCAAACGCTATACAGTGAAGCAGAATGACTGAGCTTATCCTGAGTGATAATACTGTTTTCTTTATTCTAAAGAAGTCCTTGTTCGGTATTGGAAGAAAGCTACTCTGTCTGTGAAACATTAACATTATCATGTAACAGACATGATTCCTAGCGATTTCACAGGAATTGCACCTGTTTATGCCGAGGCTGAATTTGGCCATCTGACTGGGCTGATTTAACCCAAAGTCTAAAACAGGCCTGTGCTTTTAGGCCATTTCTATGCTCGTAGTAGAACTATATTAGCAACAACTGCATTTAAACAAGATCGTTGCTAGTGGTGTCTAACAGGCTTTCCCTCTGGGCAGGGATTTTTACAGCGCTGCCAAGTTTCATGCATTCTGTGTGACACACATTTGGCAGTCCTGTCTTGAAGCACCTCTGAGTCCACATGCGTTCATCTGTAGTTTTTCCTGCTGATGCTAAAGGTCACTACAGAGCCTGGCTTTGGGAAGCCAGCGGGCTTGTCTGCTCTCCACTGTCCCCACCCCCCCGCATCTGAGCAGGAGGAGCATCAAGAGAAGTCAGGAGTAGTGGTAAGTGACTAACAAGTGGGAACAGCAGATGAAGGGACTTAAACTGACCCCACTTTCCCAGACAGCCCCAGCCTGATGTCAGACAGACCTCAGCTTCCCTACCATTCAGCACTCATACAAGTATCCCACCTCTCCCGGATATCCCAGCACCCTCTCAGGCTTGATAGCACCCAGGACCTCACCACCATAGCACCGATCTATCCCAGCACCCTCAGACACTCCAGCATTCACTGACAAAATCTCTCTAGCACCCACTCATCTAACCTAACCCTAAACATCCTCCCTCACAGCCACCCCCTTCCTT